AAACTAGCATGCGATGACAGGGATCGCGCCTTCCTCTGTTTACCGTCCGAGCGCAGGCCCAAACAATCGATATCCGACATCCGCAACACCAACGTCAACGACAACGACGACGCGCATGTGCTTTTGGCCGCGCCGGGGTATGCTTTACTGTTATCTTTCCCTTCGTTAGACGTAGGTACACACAATTCAATCATGGATACTGCCAACGAGAACACTGTACGTATCCGCATCCCTTGCCCGGCTCGAGTCTAATCTCAACACCGTTGTAGGGTATCGCGAAGCGCTCGGGCATCAAACCGCCGTCTACCTTCTCCCACATCACCTCGCCGCCTCCTAAAGCCCTAGGCGAATTGCACGAAGCCGGCGCGAACGCACGCAGTGGAATGCCGATACCCACGGCGAAACACAAGCCCTCCGGCTGTAAACTGCCCCTCTTCATACCAGTCGCACCGGACAGGTCGCTGACTCTCCCAGTACCCGAGCCTGCGTTCAAGCAACGGAAGACGCTCGCCGAGCAAGCGGGCGAGCCGATTTCTCGAAGAATACCCCCGCCGCCCAAGACCTCGAATGGCATCAAAGGTACCCTGGCACGTGGACTTGCAGCATCCACGTCGCGCGCTACTTCGAAACCGACAGCGAGACATCCTGCCGCCTCCACGCTCAGTGGCAGTGTTGGTGGAGCTCCCAAGACTACCGGGGCTGCGAGGCCAAAGTCAGCCTACGGCCACGGAAGCCATGTTCGGAGCAAGTCCTACCAGCAAGGGCCGCGTCCGGCGACAGCAATGCTGAGCAGAGATGACGATGACGACAGTGAGCAAGCAGAGCGCAAAGGTGTGCAACCATTTCTTATGTCTACGAACCCCTACCCCAGTGCAAGAGTGCCTGGTGGCATGCTTCCTCAATTGAAGAAGCGCACAACCTCCCTCCGTGTATCCGAACAGAGAATCGCTCGTGTGTCAGGTCCGCGAGCGGTCTCATCCCCTTCCCACTTCCGCCCCGTCACTCCGGTCATCGAAGAACCCGCCGACACCGACTGCGACGACATCTGCACCGCGGTTGGCGCGCTCACATTGGGCGCGGCCAAGGCAGACGTGCGTGGCAGTCAAGTCGGATGTGGTATGACTTCTGACAACGGGACGAATCCTTTTCTGAAGCCAAAGAAACCCCAGTCCCATCTTCCCCAGCCTACACCTACACCTGTTCGGCAGCAGCAGGTAGACCCGTCACCGTATCGACCTCCATCTACGCCGCGCAGATCAGCACAAGCACCTTTTCTGAATCGCTTCACTAACGATCGCTGCCCAGACTTTTACAACGACCGCATGGAGGCTATGGAACGCGATTTCCGCATGTTCAAGGAGAAGATGGAAACAGACGTGCGACAGGCTACTGACTACAAGGAGTCGATCCAACAACTTCAAAGTCGCGGTATGTTACGAAATCTGCTTTTCAGTCTCGCCTCCAGTCAAATACACACATGCTAACACCGTTTCCGATAGTCACGGAACTCGAGGCCATCCGCGCGCGCTTAGAAATTGTCAACAAAGGCTTGGAGTCCGAGCTCGACGATACCCGAAGTTGCTTCAAGTCAGTAAAGATGGAACTCGAGATGATGCAACAGAAACACACATACGAAGTCGACGATGTACGGCGAAAACTACGCAACGAAGTCGAAGACTTGGAGTCGCAGCACCGGAAGGACACCGACCGAATGCAGAGGGAACGAGATGAGGCAGAAAGGAAGATGCGCAGCGAATTTGACGAACGGATCGACAAGCTGCTGAAAGAACACAACGAGGAATTAGCTGGCTTACGGAAGAAGCTGGACGCCGACACCGAGTCGGAGCGAAGCAGGCGCGCACAAGAAGCACAAAAGATCGAGGAGGAGTATGGTTCAAAACTCCGAGCGGCTGCTATGGAAGCAGACACGAAACACCGCGAAGCGCAACTTGTCCAGGGCGAGCTCACCAACGTCAAATCCGAACTCGATCGTGAGAGGATGCTCAAGAATGGCCTCCAAGCACAGCTTACAGAATCGACTACTAACAACCTCACATTGGATGCGGCAAACAAGGCAATGATGGAGAAGATTAAATTCCTTGAGTCAGACAGCCAGCAGCAAGCAAACTCCTTCAACGAACTTCACAAGCGAATGGACGATGCCATCGAGGCTGCGAAAAGAGCGGAGGACAAACTTCGTCAAGAAGAAACACTACGACGGAAGCTTTTCAACCAAGTGCAGGAACTGAAGGGCAACATCAGAGTTATGTGTCGTGTGAGGCCAACCCATGACACAGAACGCAACCCGGCGCAAATCTCGTTTCCTGACACCGATACCGACAGCAAGGAAGTGGCAGTTCTCGGTCCAAGCAAGCAAAGTGCGACTGGCAAGGATATCACCTCCGCCTATGCCTACTCTTTCGATCGTGTGTTTGGTCCAGCCTCGCAGAACAGCGAAGTTTTTGAGGAGATCAGTCAACTTGTGCAGAGCGCTCTTGATGGCTACAACGTCTGCATCTTCTGCTACGGTCAAACAGGAGCCGGAAAGACGTTCACCATGTCATCGGCTGACGGTATGATCCCTCGTGCAACCGCTCAGATCTGGAACGAAGCGCAGCGATTACAAGAGAAGGGCTGGACATACAACATGGAAGGTTCTTTCCTGGAAGTCTACAACGAGACATACAACGACTTGCTTGGCCGCTCAGAGGATCTAGATAAGAAGAAGGTAGAGGTGCGACACGATGCGGCGAAAAAGCAAACGATCCTTGAGAACGCAGTCAGTGTCAAGCTTGACGGTCCGAAGAGTGTTGAGGAGATTTTGATGACTGCCGACAAGAACAGGACGGTAGCAGCTACCAAGGCCAACATGCGTTCCAGCCGAAGTCACTCTGTTTTCATCCTGAAACTCGTCGGAACCAACGAGATCACCGGTGAGAGGAGCGAAGGCACACTGAACTTGGTCGATCTTGCCGGATCTGAGCGACTCGAGCACTCCAAGGCTGAGGGTGCGCGTCTCAAGGAGACGCAAAATATCAACAAGAGTTTGAGCTGTTTGGGTGACGTTATCAACGCTCTTGGGTCAAAGGAGGGTACACACGTACCGTACAGGAACTCCAAGGTATGTTACACAGCGCTGATGTCGAGTGACTCACATACTAACATCTACACAGCTCACATACCTCCTCCAATACTCGCTCGGTGGCAACTCGAAAACGCTCATGTTCGTCATGGTCAGCCCGCTACAAGCACATCTCCAAGAGACGATTACGAGTCTCAAATTCGCAACGAAGGTACACAACACGCACATCGGAACAGCAAAGAAGCAGACCAAGACATCGTAGACATGGTGGTCAAGATGTGGATTGGCTTTGGGCCTTGTGGCTCGCGCGTGTCGCAGAGTCGGGCGTTTGGTTGTTTTGGCTAGGAAACGAGGTGTTTGCGTATATATCCTCTTTTGTGTTCTCAAGCAGCGGACCTTTGAAGTGTTCGAGGTCAGTATTGCTTTGCTTGGTATATATAGCCATGGGTGTTTCTGGAGTCCAGGTAATGTCTGGATGGGGCGCAAGTCGTGCGGGCGTGAAGCTAGCATGCTGGCGTTTGGGGTATCTTTTGGTAGCAATGTGGGGAATGATGAGTCAAGCTTTTTTACTTCTATCTCTATTCTCTGAATGACTAGTGTCCGTTGGCAGTATATAAACGCCATTCGCAGTGTGCTTTCCTTCTTCCTTTACATCACTCCTTGTTCACGATTTATCAAAATGCTGAGAGACTTGCAGCATGTGTTCTGTCTGAGTTCTGCCAAATTCACTGCATCCATTGCGTAGGGACATTTCCTTGCTCTCAGTCAACAGAAAGAGCTCGCGCGCGATTCAATGTCGTTCTCCCTCCGTTTTCTCCAAAAAGATAAACCCGTTAGAGATGGCATCTAGTGCGAGCTACGAAACTGCGACACTCAGATCGGTCCTTTTCGAAATACATCGATACCGTACATACCGAATTCGAGTTCAACAAAACAGCGGTCGACGCTCATCATGTGTTTCTGGAGTTGGCGATTTACTTCTTCTTTTCCAAATTTTTCAAGTTCAAAATCATAAAGCGAAAAGGAGCATGTTTCTCTTGCTGACACCGAAGCTACAAAAGCTCTGCTAAGCCGCCGATATCCTTCTTACCTTTTCCGCTAGTCAACGTATAAAAGCAACGTCCCTACGACTTTGTCCTTCTTCCCCCACACTCCTCTTTCCAGGACGATATTTTCCAAAAAGGGAGCAAAGTGATTTTATGGCGCGGTTTCGAGACCCCCGTCTTTTATCAAAAGATCTGCGTACCGGAGATATGTGCGCTCTTCCGCACTCCCCACCAAGATATCATCCGTAGAATCACATGCTACGTTCTTCGAACAAACGTCCTCCATCATCTTTCCAAAATCCGCACGGCCATCCTCTATGTTGTCTTCTGTCTGTCCTGTCGCCATGTTTAATACCGAGAGAAGAACAAGAAGCGCCGGCACTGAATCCATGATTCTTCCGCGTCTCTCGTCTTCCTTCAAAACGGAGACATGATCTACCCATGTCCCGGAGACCAGAATAACCAGTTCCTCGATTCCATGAGAGATTGCTGCCCAAAACGGCCAGGTCGACCGCATATGTGTGGATTCGGGCAGGATACGTCATGAGCGATAAGCAAAGCCTGCAGATCCCCATGTCTGCACCTTAAATCGACTTGATGGCTTTCCAAACATTTACGTGCACGAACTTCTGTCCGAGTTCTGTACGAGTGTTTCAAAAACGAGAATGAGCTATTCCATGGAGACGAAGAAGGCCGGGCAAAATCCAAAACGCAGCTGATAAAATCGTTGCGATGATGAACATCAGCACCATCAAAGACTGCAATTTCCTATTACCGATGCTCCAGGGTATCAATATCATGGTATCATCGCTACATATTCTCATGTGACATGGCTGCCAGTACTTGCTGCAAGGCAATCCGCTGCTAATCCCTCACTCCTTCCCAGGCGGTCTCCAATCAAAAAGATCGCCCGCTTCAGTACTCCACGGCCCAACATCCTTATCTACAACGGGACTAGGTAGCTCGACCTCTCCCATAGCAGCCGACGGAACATTGGTATCCACCTGCAGACTCTGCGTCCTCTTGAACTTCCTTCTAGGATCAGTTCGTTTAATCAACGCATCTAGCCCACTGCTTTTCTTCTTCTTTGGTTCCTCGGGTACAGTAGCAGTGATCGGTGGATCGTCTACGGTATCGGCTATGTTGCTGGACGTCTTGGGTAGATTGCGCTTCTCCCAGTCATCCGCTGTACTGGGTATCGGTGCGTCGTTTTCGCTTCTTACGCGCCTGAAGTTTCGGCTGGGCGATTTGCCTGCGCTGGTTATGTTTGAGCCGTCTTCGATGGGGTCGGGAAGGGCTTTGGCTAGGTTGTGAGGCTTTTGGAGAAGAGATGCTAGTTCAGTTGTGCTCATCATGGGTCCTTTCTTGTTCGCTCGGAGGGGATGCGGCGGAAGAGGTACAGACTCATTTAGAGGGGCTGGAGCTGGTTCTTCTTGTACTAAGGGCGTTGCGGCTGCTTGCTTCTTGGATCGCTTCGGCGGCCGCTTGGGGAAGCCGCCAGTCGAGAGTGGGACTTTGCGAGGCGAAGTTGATGATGTGCGTGATTGTGTTTCAGAGGCTTCAGTATGCGCTGGCGAGACGTCTCGCGATGCTGATATCGGTGGATCAAGACCGGGAACAGGTGGCGATGGGGCCTTGCGCGTTGATGCAGACTTATCCACAATGTTGCTTCTTGGCTGTGCTTTTCGGACAGTCTTGTCTCGTGGAGGAGATTTCGACTTCGTAGGTTGACGTTTAGATGGCGGTTCAATCGGTGTCTGGTCCGCCAGTTTCTTGGTAGTGGTAGGCTTGGGTTCGGAGACTGTCTCTGAAGGAGAGAATACGGACTGAGGCTGAGGTGGAGACGAGGGAATTATTAGTTGCTGGTCCATGAGGCCATGTATAACTTCTGGATCTTCGAGAACACTCCGTGATGGGAGCGGGGGAGATCTGGACACTCTGGCTTTCTTTGGCGCGAGACTGTCACCATCCTGTGCCTCTGTATTTCTTCGCTTGGCTTTAGCCACCCGTTTCGACGCTGCAGAGGCGACCTCTTGTTGCGGATTACTGTTCTGTGATATTGCAGGTGATGGCTCCTTGCTCGTGACGCGTGATACCGGTCGAGCTCTGACATTGGAACTGGTCGCTCTGGCCTCACTAGCTGCCCTTATGGTCTTCTGAGGCAGCGACTGACACAGCAAGGTTCCGCGCTTTACACCCGCCGACAATCGAAGCGATTTCGCTTTGCGGTTAGGAGGAGGCGAAGGTGGTGGCGGAGTGGGGTCTTTGGGTGGCTGCTTTGTTGGTTGTAACGCGAAGTCGACGTTCGTCAGGCGATTTGAGGCGCTCACTGGAGGTGAAGATGGTGGCGCTCGTTGCTTCGGAGTCTCCAACGCTCGTACACTGGGTACTGGCACCTTGCCTTTGGGTATTCGTGGGGTTTGTACGGGCGGTTGCTGAGGTACAGCGGGCTGTGGTGCTGGGGTATGAAGTGCGCTAGATCGTGCTCTCGCTCTGGCAAATTTCGGGGGTGTGCTCGGGAGAGTGACATCGGACAAGTCCGCAGGGTGAGGGTCGGACTCGGACTCTATCGTGATGACAGTCGCTGTCGGCGGTATGAATTTCGCAGGTTTCCGAGCATTCGCTGTGTCTGGCGGTTGTACTTGTACAGCCGAATCTCTCTTCGCTATGGGGCTGTCTTCTTGGACTGGGCTAGATGCTCTCCAGTTTGTGCGTGGCTGGCTAGTCTTTTGTCTCTTCGGGGTGGGTTCCTCGACCAGCTCATTCTCCTTTTCCTTTCGAGCCTCGTATGGAGATTTCATAGGTTGCGCCTTTCCAATTGGCCCTTTCGGTGTCCCAAGCAGTGTATTGAGCGATTTGTGGCGTAGTTGGGATGCACTTCGCTGGGCATTGGTCGGTGCCACTGACGATGGCCTCTGGAACGGTTTCGGCTGGGAAGGAGCGGTCGGGCGGGGTGGCTGTTCTTTCGTTTTCTTCTCGAGTAGTTGCGTCAGATCGGTATGTGTGATGCTCATGGCCTCAGCGACCTCTACTAAAGCGCCATTGTTCAGGCTGAGTTCGTCTCCTTCCTGCAGCTCGTTGCTGTCTTTGTGATAGGTATCTCCGAGAAAGTTCCTTGCCTGGTCATATACCATGACCCGGCTGTTGAAGGTATGGAACTTGAGATAGCCATCCTGCCACCGCTTCTGCTTCCTCTTGACGTCTTGTGTATAGAGGCAACGAAATTCTGCCACGGGCGCGCTGTTCTGGGAGGCGGTGATCGCGGCTATGGCTGAGGCATGCTGGGTATTACGAAGAGGTGCCGTCATCGCGTGAGTATACGGTCGAGACGCGTCGGGGCGTGCATGGGCGGCATAGGGCGGGGTCGTCGTGAGGGTGAAGGTCGAGAGATGTGACGGTGACGCGCCTCGGCGGAACAAACCGCGCCTGCTGTTCCGCGCGCGAGCACGTGGTTTAGCGTCTGCAGACTACGGCAGCGGCTACCCAGCCCTAAGACCCTAATGCCTTGAGCTTTCACCGGAAATACACCAGGGGTACGCGTTTCCCCAAGCTTTTCCACTTCAGTCATGACACGTCTTCGTACCCGGCGGCCCAACGCTGGGTGGCCTCGCACCATGATGCCGTCCGGTCCACAGCTGACGGTACCAAAGGCGGGCATCAGGTGTAACCGCAATCTTGAATTCGCTTCCCGCGTCGAGGAGGGGACCTGGCAAATCACTCCTCCCCGCGAGGCTTTCACACTCCACTTTAGACAACTAATCGGTCTAAGCGGCCGGCGAATTGTCGCGACAACCTGGTGCGGGGCCCTTCGGTACCCCTGCTTACTCTCACCTCAATTAACACACAGCAGTGAGCACAGCCACCGCTAGTCGACGCGCAAGCATTACCTACTGCCCTCCGCCCATAACTCGTATTATTCTGTCCTTCTTACCTCAGGCCTGCGTCGCACACGATAGCTGCCATCACATCGCAAGATGCAGCGCATGCAGAGGATTACCGGGCGTTTCCTTACGAGGACGCCCAACGAGGCCGATGTCGAAGCCATGCTGAAGGACTTCACCGACTCGCAGGTTATGTTGGAAAAGGTACGTCCAGTGTGGCTTAACATCTCACATTGCTCGGTCCTATGAACTAGTGGGGCCAGCCATCCAAACCCATCACATCCAGTTCCAACCACCCACGTCAATTGACTGCTATGCATGCTATGTGTGGCACACGAGTCGAGTGTACACGTTGGCATTGAATCTCCAACTAACCCCCCTCTCAGCTCGAAGCGTCAGCGAAGCAATGGCGGGACGCGTGGACCAACATCCTCAACCACCAACTCACGTCGGTCGAGCTCATATACGCCATCTTCAAACCACTCGGCGGCGAAGGCTCCAACAGCACCCATGCCCATGCCGAAACCCCACCTGCGGTCCTGGAGCGTGTCCATGGCCTACACGAGGCCTTTTCCGAGCTGAAGACCGACATGATGGAGGAAGTCAAGGACATTGACAGGAAATTGGTCATCCCAGCGAAGCTGGCTCGCGACGCCTTGAAGCCCATGGAGAAGGCTATCAAGAAGCGAGAGGATGCAAAGGTCAGTCAGCCTATAGACCACGCTGTGAGCCATGCTGACCACGCCATTGCAGGTCGACTATGAGCGCTACAAAAGCCGCTGCGAAACCCTTCAGGCCAAGAAGACGCGCTCGGAACGCGAGAACAGCGCTCTTGCCAAACACGAAGTCGATCTCGAGCGCTCCACACACGCATACCAACTCGCCGACGAGAACCTCCGAGACCGCCTGCCACGCCTGAATGCCGCAACCTTCTCCATTCTACCACATCTCCTCGCGAACCAGATCGTGCTGCAAAACAACCTGATTGGAAACTTGTACACTGTACTACACCAGTACTCACACGAGCAAGGATACCCCGATCCACCACCAGAGCCAGAGGAAGTTATCCCACTATGGGACTCCAACTTTACACCACTGCGCCAGGAAATGGAGACCAGCCTGGGCCTGCTGAAGACGGGCAAGGCGGTCCATTTGCCAATGAGACTACCAGATAAGGGAGAGACGTTGACAGGCTTGGGCATTAGGAATAAGGTCATGCCTGGTCGGAGAGTCAGCAGCAGCGACAGTGTGCCCACCATCACAGGAGGCGGAAGACCCCCGCGACCATCCCAGACCTTGTCATCGACCTCCGAGAATGGCCCGCCCATAAGCCTCTCTAATAAGCCCTCATACAGCTCTCTTAGCGCCTCAAAGCCCAAGATCGGCGGTTCACCGCATCTGAGCGCTGGGCAGGGTATGTATGATCGCCGTCTCTCGTCTACATCACAGGCTTCCTCTTACTCGAATGGAACCAATGGTGATTCTTACTTCAACAAGATACCCTCTGCCTCGAACGGGTCAACGCCAACCGGCTATCCCTCGTCGCCTAATCCAGCCGCAGGGAAAAAGAAGCCGCCCCCACCGCCACCAAAGAAGATATCATCTTTCCAGTACGAGTACGTGACAGCCATGTATGATTTCGACAGTCTCACGGACGGCGATTTGAACTTCAGAGAAGGCGACCGAATTCGCGTGATCAAGAAGACGCAAAGCTCGCAGGATTGGTGGCAGGGAGAATTTAATGGAAAGCAGGGCAGCTTTCCTGCAAACTACTGCAAATAATTCGTTCGATAGGGGGGGATGAAGGGGCTTAAATGATATCCAAAACTGCATTAGAAGGTGGCGTTACGGTAATTTGGCACTCTTGATGGCATGGCGAGCAGACACAGAACAACTAGGAAGAAACTTAGGCAATTCAGATTGAGTAGCTTTTGTATTTCTGTACAAACTGGGGTTGCGTTCTGACTCTAACAACTGAAGTATGATAACATGTAATGCTCTTCATGCTATACTCAGATTTGTATTGATTGACAACTAGATCGCGCCTCCTCTCATGGTGGTGGCTCGGTACCTGTTCGCTACTATTAATAGTGCTCACGAAGCCGCTCACCAATGGAACCCCCATGGCACATCTGCGTCCGTGAGCCAAACTTCAGCTCGAGGCAGTCTAGCCCCCGCCTTCAGCCCCCACATTGCAGTCCGTAGCTCCCGCGCGCCGTCGAGAAGGCGCAGTTGATGCCTCCCTGCGTCATGAGGTGCCTGCCTGATGCGCGCAGGTGTGCCTGCATCTATGAGCCTCGTGCGACAGCCGCAGCAGGCTTGTCGGCGTCAAGCGTCATATAGAGCACCGCGCCGCACTTCACTCTTATCATAACCCACTATCCTATCGCTGATGGACAGTATGGCTGATAAGATCACGCTACAGACGTTAGGTGTATGACAGCATTGACATACGCTGAACGAATGCTTACAAGTACCAGACCACCGCTCTGACGCCGCCCTTCTCTCCCCGTCCCATCCCACCCCCAACCGCTACCGCTGCCACACTCAGTAGTCCCACATCGCCATCCGACACCGCGCATCAGAATGGTCATATTACTACCAGCCTGGGTCGGACCACGACAGGCCCCCAACCGCGTGAGCCCGTGCTCGACTCGGTCATAGCAATACCGCTCACGGCAGAAGAGTCCCTTCCCACTATAAGCGGCAAGAACAACGAAGCATACCTCGCCAACGACGACCCCCGTCAGTTCCTCTTATACGACCTCGATCTCTCTCGCTTGAACCGCATACATGGACACCTATGGATGGCAGGCCGGCCCATGCGCGCCAGGCCATTGCACAGATACACGATGCTGGGCATGGAAGTGCTAGGCACACAACAAATGGATTTACATCTGCTGAAGTACTCGACTAAGCTTATAGTCAAGCCGTTGCCGGAATGGATGCTCAGCTATGAGTTCTGGCAAGATTACATCTGCAAGCCTGCGGATGCGGATCCTGATGACGAGACAGCAAAAGGCCTGTGGGAGAGTGCGGCGGGTTTTCTGGTAAGCTATGTGTGGCTTATCACTACACCGCTGGACTTGAAGATCGCGCACGAGTACACGCTTCTACCGAGCTTTGTCACCTGGCACTGGTGGAAAGCTTTCGTGAGGGATTTCATGGGCCATGTGGATATCAACACGCTGCAGCAAGTCAACAAACGATACCAGTTCGGTGATCTCAGGTTGGGAAGAATCAACAGCATCTATCGGACACGATTCGCGCATACGCATTTCGTGAGAGGGTATCTGTGAGTCTATCTCTTGTCCATTGAAAGCAAACGCTTGGGTAGGTTCATCTGCTAACACACCTCAAACAGGTACGGATACAATCGCTACGTAATCTTCTTCCAACGAAACTTCTCCTGGATCCTCATCGTGTTCGTGTTCTTTAGTCTGGTTCTATCCGCCATGCAAGTTGGAGTGGGTCTGGACGAACTGAAAGAAAATCACCATTTCCTTAAAGCCACTTATTACTTCGTTGTTTTCAGCATGGTACGTACTCGCGTCGCACGAGATGAAACGTTGTGGTAGCTGACTCTCTCCAGATATCCGTGGTTGTCGTACTGGCATTCGTTACAATCGTCTTTATCGGCATCTTTCTCTTCAACATGTACAAGGCTATCACGCATGCGGGGAGTACACAGAAGTGGAGACTTAAGATGTTTCGGAGGAATCAGGAGGAGGGTAAGGATGCTTGATATGCGTCGCGATGAGATTTCCATGATTGACGGCATTCATTTCTTGATACCCAATACTTATTAAATCAGTATTTCAATCCATACCAAAATTCCCCATTCTAACTCTCCTCATCCCGTCCCTTTTCCTTCTCCAGAGCCACAGGATCCACTTCCTGCTTCCTCTTCGCAATCCGGAACATACCACCATGATACCACAACGCCAACACTGCAGCCATCGCCGACAAAGCCGACGGCACAACCATCGCCACTTTCAAAACCACACTATACTGCCCCTCAGGCGCGCTCACCACTTTACTAACTGCCATACCGATTCCCCCGAGACTGTTCACGAACGCGGGAAAGAAAACCCAGTTTATCAACCACTGAACCTTCCTCTGGTATTTCCACCATAGATACAACCACCCTAGTAGACCTACGCAGCAGGCTAGGGCACAGAGATAAAATGAACCCGGGATCTGTATAGCTGTAGGTGGAAGGTTATCGTACACATCAGAACAGTCCCAGTATTCTTCGCACTCTATGCATCCTGCATATTCGTCGACGCTGTTGAGCTGTGGAAAGAATGAGGGGAGGAGGATGTAGCCGAGGAGGGTACACCAGGAGAAGATCTGCGCGAGGACTCTGTCGGTGTAGGAAACGCTGTCGTTGTAGGATGCGGGTTTCAAGAAGGATCGCAGGCTAAAGGGCATGGTGTTGTTGCGCGGTTTTCGCTGGTGTGATCTACGCGTTGGGTTTTCGCGTTTCGTGCTGGTGAAACTTGGGTTGGGTATTACGTCATCGCTTGGGCGCGGCGAGGCGAGACGGCGCTCGCGCGTTGTGTTTACCTCAACAAATTCTGGGCTCACGGCACGGTTCTTGGTGTTTGCATCAACCTTTCCTTCACGACGAAAAAATCGCTTTTGGTACTTGTGAGGCCTGGGATGGATGTTGCGTCATTGTTTTGACCCTTCAGGGCGGCGCTCGCGCGTTGTGTCTGCCCCAACTGTAAGGCGATCCAAACCACCACACCAACGATCTCTGTGCCTCCATCGACCTTTCCTTCTCGATGGAAGAATCGCTTTTGGAAGTGGTGAGGCCTGTAACGGGCATCACATCGCCGCTTTGGCGCACGACCAGGCGGGGCGGCGCTGGCGGGTTGTCTCTGCCTTGACGATCTCTGTGCCTACGGCACGGTTTCTGGTGCATCAATCACATCGACCTTTCCTTCGCGATGGAAGAATTGATTTTGAAACGATAGAGTACGAGACTGTTGTTGGTGCCTGTTTCGAGTACCTGTAATGCTGCGGCGTGATGATGCTACGACGTCGGGACGTCTTCACAACTGATCACCATCACAAGGCTGACGGAAACTGAGCGGCAGCTGATGTGACCGCTACCAAAAGTCTACGAAGCCAGAGACATTCGAGAGGAAGAAGAAGAAGCACAAGAAGACCTTTAAAGCACGACATGTTTGCGACACCAGCCCGATTGTCACACCATCTGGCCGTGAGATTATAGGTCCGAAAAAGCGATCTCATTCACGTTCTGGAAACACGAAAAGACGTTGAGGCCGGCTGAACAGGAAAGATCTTCACAAATAACAGTCAAATGCTTGCATGTAACAGCCTCGCCATTGAGCCATATCCTTTCCGGCGCGGAGCAACCGTATACTAGCACTCACAAGATACAGCCTCGCATAGTATCGGCAGCACTCCATCGGGTTCGGCTTCGATCCTTCGGTTTCGGCGCCGTCCATTCACATACCGCCCAACGAAGATCCCTGTCTTGTCCTATACACCCATGTCGTTCCAAACGACTTCTGTGACTGCAGGTCCCGCCATGCAGACATACTGATTATTTCCGTCTATATTGCCAGCCGAGCAGTCGGGTGTGCCAGTGGTATGATCGCAGCAATCAGGTACCTTTGCCACATGGAGGAAGGTAAAACGGACGTGTTATCGGGTCCGTCTTACCAGTTGGTATACACCCAAGCGATGGCCTCGAATTTGGAATCGCTACATAATAGGTTTTATCTGATCCTTTTCTCTCTGCGTAGTTCTCTTCGACTGCTTCATGGTGTATTCGCCATTTCTCCTCCATCATGGCTAACAGCGTTGCTCCAGAGCATGTAATCGTACGTTTCATGTACTTTTCTTTTCTGACATGACTCTGCTAACGTATCTGCAAAGCCCATCGAGGCGACCCTTATGGCCTTGGCCATATTCTTGGCTTCTGGTCGACTGGTTCCCCGCCTTTTACAACGACAGTATCCTACTGTTAGCGACAGTCTCTTGATAGCGTCTATCCTGGATGCTATTGGCCTTTTCGTCACCGACTACCTGACGTACATATGGGGTGGCATGACGGATGATGCAGAGGCATCGACAGCTCGTGTGATCGCTCTCAAGAAGGTGCAATTCGCCGGCAATGCATTCTACGACACTGGCATCTACTGGCCAAAGTTGGCAATCCTCGCGCTATACTTTAGGCTTATCCCTCCGACAATGCCGTGGTTGCGAAAAGCACTTTACGCAGTGACCCTTTTCACTGGAAGTGCCATGGTATCGACATTCTTTCTCGACACTTTCTGGTGCGGGCGCCAGGTCTCTTCGAATTGGTCCCCTGATGAGGCAGCCTGTAATACCTTCAGCTCCAAAGAGGTTTTCAGGATCGACTGGAGCCTTAATATCACTTCCGACGTGTTCAGTGAGCAATCTTATATCATCCAGAGAGTGCATGAATCACTAACATCGGACCAACAGTCTTCGCGTTGCCATTCCCCCTACTTCGTTCACTACAGCTCCGGCGTCGCCAGATCTGGGGTCTTGTAGCGACATTCTCACTTGGCATCGTCACGATCGCAATGAGTGTTCTTCGGTTCGCAACGATAGAGGTCATATATGCCTGGACCAACGTCTGTCAGTGCATGCAGTCAAACAAAACTTGAACTGTCGCTAACACATCTATAGACGTCCTTTCCATGACCGAAATGGCCGTCGCCATCATGGTAGTCTCATTGCCGTCGATGAGATCTTTCCTACGACGCGGCAGCCTCTTCTCCTCGAACAAGAAATCGCACTCTTCTGGGTCTCGCACGTATGGACACCAAACACCCGCATCCGGGTCGCACAACTTTTTGCGTCCTTCCAGAAGAGGCAAGCACACCGCCCGCGTGCACACAGATGAAGACTCGGGCAGCGAAGTAGAACTGAACACCATGTCAAGGAAAGATGTCATCTACGAGACGCGCCGCGTTAGCGTGCAGTTTTCAAAGTCGCCTGATGAGGAACACGAGATTTCTGCCAAGTACCCATGAGGGTGGTTCAGGAGTCAATTCCATTTAGATGTAACTAGTCGCTAATAGCAGCAAAAGCAAAATTTATTCGAAGGATTGAACAAAATCTGTCTATACGAGGTTTAGCAGCCGGGTCATCTCAACATTGTAGTGTTACTTAATAGACCCTTGCCGTTGGGCTGACCACTCGCATCAACCCGGAATGATTGCGCTACCATCCCGCCCACTGCGGACCGCACACGCCACCAAAACGCCGCCGAGCGGTATATTCTTCCAGCCGAGCCGCAATAGTCCATGGCTCCGTGAGTTTCAATCACCTTTGCAAATACTCTTGACTGTGCCGCATTGCTGCCGTCGAAGCTGTGGATCGGCATTGGCCGAAGGGTCTGCATGCGGGAGGCCTCGTTTGGCAAAATTCATCCACCGGTTCGCCTAACCGAACACCAAAGGAAGCTACGATGCTTGACCAAGCTTATCAGCAGCGAAGGGCCGAACAAAACATAACCACGAATCAGAGGTTACACAGCCTTGATGCTCAATCAGATATCCGTTGCACAACCCAGGAAATAAGACCTCACACGCTCGTCCCATGCGCCTGAAGACCCCCTCCCACCACAGACCGAACCCACCGACACGGTACAGCCGTGTGTAAAGCGCAAGGATCACAGTTGGAATCAGCCCATCTAACACGGCAGCTAGAACGCCTCAATTATAGGCAAACTTCCGCGCGCCTGCATGCAGGGCTCACCCATTGCCATGCGATTCGACAATTCGAGGACAGAAGTCCGACCCCAGTTTCGCATGATAGGCGGTAGAATTCTTCGCCCAGACATACCCTCAGAAGCTATGGTATAATGGATGCGCGGCAGAATATAGTACCCTGCATGCTATGGGAATTGGCTCAATATACATACTCCTTGCAGTACGCTGATTGAAGCGAGTGCGGCGCAACTATCTATCCAACGGCTTTTATCCTGACTGTTTCGTGACTGTCTCTGTCACACCACAGGAGCAGCGAAGATGGCACACTACATTGATGGGAAAGACTGCATGGTAAGTTGGTCGGTGATACAACAAGAGATCTTCGAAGGGGAAACACGATGCTGACTTGTCACAATGTGATAGATCTCAGAATGGATCCTCCTGATCTTCGCATACTGTTTCGTTGCGGCGCGCATGTACACGCGTTTGTTTCGTCTGCGCTCGAGGTTGGACGCGTCGGATTATCTATTGTTGGCTTCTGCGCTGGTTGCGTTGGGGTTGATCATTTGCGATACGCTTACGTATCAGATGGGTGTGCTGGATGAGTATGAGACGTCGGAGAAACTGTCGAAGGTGAGTTGTTCTTTTGGTTGTCGCACTCTACGCACATCTAACACGTTGTGCAGATCTCATTTGCCTCGAACTACTTCTACGATGTCGGCATGGGCTTCCCCAAACTCAGCATGCTGGCTTTCTACTGGGCGTTCTTCAACCTCGCTGGTCACCCGGGACTGCGCAAGATGCTCTTCGGTATTACGGCTTTTGTCGTCGCGAGCTACCTGACTATCCTCTTCGACGATACCTTCTTCTGCGGTACACCTGTATCTGTGCAGTGGTCTCAAGAAGAGGGCGCGTGCTCCGTTTTCTACGCGCCAGAGCCGTTTATCCTGAACTTTACTCTCAACTTGGCTTGCTACCTGGCTGTCTACGCGGTTCCTGTTGTGCTCCTGATGAAGGGTGTATTGAGGTCGTCGGCTGGTGTTGGTCTTACATTCGCGCTCGGTGCGCTCACTATTGCGTCGAGCATTGTGCGCTTCGCTTGCCTCAAGATTGGGACAGGACAAGAGAACCTTGTTTGTAAGTGCACCTTCTGGATACTATGTATAATATGCGCGACGATCAAGCTAACCTGTTCTCGCAGATCCTTTGAGCATGGTGGAGATGACTCTTTCGATCATTGTTGTTGCGCTGCCGGGACTCAAGCCACTTGCGAGAAATGCGAAAGTCTAGGTAGCAGACAGATGGTGGTTAGTTTTGACGAAGAAAATTTGCGATTACCAAACATAGATTGGAGCGGCGAATGAATTTTCACTGGCCTTAATGCTCATAATAGAATACTCAGGCAGTCGCGGTCTTATGCGACTTGAAACATGTTCATGCCTAATTGGCCACTGTACAAGGCCGTGAGATCAGATCTTAGCGGGGTCGATTGCCCACCTGGGCAGGTGTAAGCCATCATACTGGCGTGTTGATGCCTTCCCTTCCATTTGATCTAATTTCGAACTCTACCCCGCTATCTATCACCACACTACACGTATCATACCCTTGGATCGTATACGATTATGTCTTCGATCACGATGCCTTCCGACAAACAGCATCATCGGATTCGCGGCCTAGCTGCGCTCAGGCATCTGAGGCAAGGCGTACGCTCAACCTTCTCAAGGCACCCGCAGGCTACATTATCTGCTTCAGGTAGCGGACCAGCCTCCTCAATGTACGCCGAAAGACTACTTTCTAGAAACCAGATCCGTGTTCTCCATGTCCAACCTTCTTCTATACGATATCGACGAATAGAATGCGAACTCAAGCTTGTCAACCTCGACGAAGCACCTGTTTACAATGCTCTATCGTATGTTTGGGGGGTCGACCCACCCAAGGTCACGATCATATGCAACGGTCAACGCCTCAAGATCCGACCAGAACTTTCGTATGCTCTTGTGAGGCTGAGGCTCAAAGAAACTACGCAAATTATCTGGGCCGACGCTCTTTGCATCAACGAGGCCGACGACCAAGAGAAGAGCCATCAAGTTCCCCCAATGAGCAAGATCTTCTCGCAGGCAACACAGGTCAATGTTTGGCTCGGTCACGGTGATGATAGCGTCATAAGAGAAGCGTTTCGGTGTTGCAAATTGATCGCGGATGCATGCAACGAGTTCAGCCTGAAACACGACATCAATCTGGACGGCGATGAAACCCACAGAGTAGTAGAAGTCCCAATGATCATCTTCACGCCTATGTTGAGTATGAGTCTGACAGATCTGTTCGAGCGCCCGCTATTCTCAAGAGTTTGGTGTATACAGGAAGTCAAGTTAGCGCAAGATGCTCTAGTAGTTTGGGGCGAACAATGCCTCCCGTGGGCGGAGGTCGGCCAGGCAGCGCAGTGGATTTTCGACAGGCAATTTGGAAGTGATGACACCAATAAAGATCTGGGAAGTTCATTCGAAGAGATCAGTGTTATGGGGGTAGATTCCATTTACGAGTTGGATCCTGTCAACTGTTCAGTTCTCGAAGTGTTACAAAAATTCCGCGAGTTCCAATCAACGGATCCCAGGGACAAGGTGTACGGCCTGATTGGTCTTTCTGGATTTCAACCAGACAGAAATCTGATGATGCCGGACTATACAAAGAGTACCGCACAGGTTTTCACCGATACGGCGTTGCATACCATCACTAGAAACAAACACCTACTGGTCTTTGCGCACGTAGCACACCATGCAGATTACGACGGAGATGACGATTACCGATCATGGGCACCACGTTGGGACATTCCCCGAGATACAGTTTCCATAGGTCAGGGCGTCGTGGTTCTTAAAAGTGGCGCCTGTAGCGGACGTGAAGCCCAATTCGTCGTTACTAAACATCCTGAGGGTGAGCAATTATGCCTCACCGGTATCATTCACGCCAAAGTAACTACCGTCGATAAGGTATTCGACTTGGAATCTTCCACTAAGCTTGAGGGCCTTCAAATGTATCCCGAAGTCGTTGAGGCTTACAAAGGGATAGATTGGAATAACCCCATGAGCGACGTGGCCTTGCCAGTATTAGCTCGGACACTTACTGTAGATGACACGACGAGAAACTCTACTAAGTTAGGTAGCGAGTCAGGCCACGCCCGCTACGAAGAATTCAGACGCTACCTCGAATGGTACCGTGACCCAAAGGCAGAGTTTGACAGCTTGAGTGGCGACGCACTTCAATGCCACAACCAAATAGGGATTCTCTGCGGCGGCTACCGCTTCTTTCGGACAGAAGAGAAAGACTTCGGCATCGGTCCAGCGTGTATGCGTGAGGGTGATGTTGTCGTGGTGTTCTACGGGGGTAGTGCGCCATGCGTGTTGCGACCGAAAGGCGACAGATATCTCCTGCTAGGCAACGCATATGTCGACAGTATTATGAACGGCGAGCTCGTAAAGGAGGTTGAAGAAGGCAAGCGACAAGAGCAAGAATTCTGTCTCATCTAGACAAGCGGCGGTGCTTGACCCTTCTGCATGTGCAGACGCTTCATCTTCGGCGACAAGTTCCACCCCGCGTTCCCCCACACCCCAACCTCCGCCATCCTGAACCACAAGCATCAAGCAACGAAACGAGTCGCACTGGGCGGTTTCTCGGCGAGCTGTATGCCGATCAGCATTACAGCGTGCCTCCACCGTGTTCTTTTAATTTATCGCGTTCCTGTCGCGTCGCTAACAACCCTGGCGCTTAATATGGAAAGCGGAACATCAACGCGGAGACGTCATGGGACCTGGCGCAAAGTGAAAAGGACAGAACGCAAGAAAAATGGATGATGGAATATATAGTCGGAATGGGACTGTGATAATTTACAGGCTCTACACGCAATTGAGAATTCGTAACCTTCACCACTGTATCCTCAGATCGTCTGGCATCATTCCACTTCAGCATATAGACCCTCGGTTGATAGCAACATGCGATTCTTCTCGCTCCTACCACCAGCGCTCCTCGCAGCAACCGCCTACGCCAACTCAGACCCCTCACCCCCATCCTCCACACCCGCCGCCGACGAGCCCACGCCCATAGGCGCCCTCTGGACCGCCCAATGGGACGCCACAACCCTGCAACCCTACACCCAACACTGTCACTCCAAAAACACCTACAACGCCAGAATCTACAAGCTCAACGAACTCTACCCGGACCTAAAAGACGCTGCCCCCCAACTAAAAGTCTTCTACAACAAGCAACTTTACGCCGGGTCCTGGGGCGGCATCGACGTGCACGGCACCGGCCGCGAACTCATACAGATGAACATGGCCGATATGCCGTATAAAGTGCGGGAGTGGTTGAAGACTGAGATGCTGCAGAGGCATTATAGTGTGCAGGATGATATGGTGTTTTTTGCGCCGGGCGCGATTTACCCGATTTTGCCGTTGTGGGTTGATGATGCTGAGGAGGCGGGGTGTGAGGGTGTGTTTGATGGGTTGGAGAGTTATTCGAATGAGCCGAGGGATGGGGCGGTGATTGGGAAGGTTGGGCATACGAATACGGGGGAGAAGGAGGTTAGGTTTACGGTGGAGGCGTTGAAGGTTAAGGCGAAGAGTGAGAGGAATGAGTTGTAGGAAGTGAGATGGTGGTGCGACTTGTCTTTTGTATTGTTTTAGTGGGAAGCTCTAAGAGGGCATTCATGTTGTTGTGCTAGTTATGGTGTTCGTTCTTGTTTGACAATACATCGCTATGGGGTATCATTAAATCAATTCCATGGATTCAACGCCGTACAGAGCACTTTATATCCCGCGTGATAACGAGGCGATGCCTTTACATGACAACATCGAACATGTGTCCTTCATGCTGTGCAGGGCAGCTCTTCGCTTTGTGTCCTACCTCTTTGCAAACATAACAAGCCAACGGGGCTTTCACCTTCGGCTTCTTGGCTGGCTTGCTTGTCTGCTCGGAAAAAGACACGTTTGCGGTACCGTTGATTGGAGGTAGAATGGTGGGTTGATCAATCAAAGTAGGCACGCTATTGACACCTTGGCCCCCCGGAGGCGCTGGACGTAAAGCTTTCTTCTTTGGCGCTCTGATTGGTTTAGCAGGCCTTGGAGGAGCAACGGCGTCCATGGAAGGTGCAGTGGCCTCTGGATGTACAGCAGTGGTGTCGTTCGCAACCTCTTTTGCTTTCGGTTTACGAGGGGCTGGAAGCTTAACCACAACCTTTGCGGGTGCAGGTGTTGGTGGCGGCGGTTTACTCGTCACTTCAATCTTCGGCGCAGGCCCTGTACCAGCGTGAGGCGGGGATATATTATCGGCGGTGGCTTCGGCATGCTTCGTAGGACAATCGCGGGCGAAATGGCCTTGCTCGTTGCAGGTGTAGCAGGTGGCTGGTGGACGAGTGGCCTTCTTCTTGGCCTTTTTCGGAATTGCTGAATTAGTGGCGATCGAGGGCTCGGCGGACGGCGTGTTCGCTGAGTAGGGCTCCAAAACCTCCTCTTCGTTCTCGTACCCGTTCGCATTGCCTGCTTCTGCGAAGGCTTCGGCTTGTTGTTCTGCAGCAGCCTTTGCGTCACGCTCTGCCATTTCCCTGTTGAGACGCTCGACCGTCTCCTTGGTGACACGTTGTATAGTCTCCCTAGTAACACGTTCCACTGTCTCTCTGGCCACGCGCTCTAACATTTCCCTGGCCTCGCGTTCTGCCGTCTCTTTTGCTTCCAGTTCGGCGCGGAAGTTGGCCTCCTGTGCTGCGAGTACCTCGGCCTCTCGTTCTTTGGCTTCACGTTCCGCCCGTTTTTGAGCCTCGTGTGCTGCGTATTCTTCAGCTTCTCGTATTTCACGCTCCCTCGCATCGAGCGCAGCACGCTCTTTTGCTTCACGCTTGGTCTTTGCTTTCGTTTCTTTCTCAGCCTTTTGTTTTGCTTCTTGCTCGGCAGCCTCCTGGACTTTCTGGGCGTCTTGTTCGGGAGCGTTCTGTTCTTGGACTTCATGCTCTTCTGCCACCTTCTCTTCAGCAACCTTCTTCCGAGCTGCCTTCTTCTCCCTGGCCTCCTGCTCGCGAGCTTCCTTCTTCTTTTCCGCTACTAGTCGGGCAGCTTCTTGCGCAGCTGCGAGCTCTCGTGCAGCTTTCGCCGCTTCGGCTTTTTCTTTCGCCGCCTTTTCCTGCGAAGCCTTCTCTGCAGCTTCTTGGGCGAGCTTGGCCTGTTCTTCACGTTCTGCTTTCCGTCGCGCCGCCTCGGCTTTGCGCTCCTGTTTCTGTCGCTCGGCTTCCTGCTTACGCGCAAGCTCTTCCGCTGCCCGCTTTGCGGCCTCCTCTTCCGCGTTGTGTGGTTGCTCTGCCTCATCTCCATTGGTTTGCTCCTCGTCCTGGTCTCGCTCGACCGAGTCGGATCCTTCCGGATCAGAGTGGCGTTTAGTCGTCTGAGGCTTCTTTCCGCCCTTGCCTTTCTTTCCCTTTCCCTTCTTTGGCGCCACGCCAGTGCCGTGAAAATTGAACGGGTGAATTGGGGATGACGCTTCGATCTTCTTCTTACAACCCCGGCAGGCAACAGCTCCGCCACTTGGACAGCGATAACTGTATTCCTGTACGTGAGCAGCGCAAAACAGGCAAGTTTGTCTCCCATTCTTTCCTTCCCACCCTAGATCCATAATGGAGTCGTCGTCGGGACGTAACCCAGCCTTCCGGAGTTCAGAATCATAATCGCGTTGCAAGCTGATGACCCATAATTGCGCCATGGCGCGCTTCTTTTTGGGTCGACAATACGTATACCATCACCCTCTGCTTGTCGAGCCGCAGCCGCCTTCTTCAGTCGCTCGACACATTGCTTGTTGATGTCTTCGATGGCCGACTTCCTGGCCCTTTCTTCAGCGTTACGTCTAGCCGCAGCTTCGAAGTTCTCGCGTCTTCGGAGCAACTCTGCCAAGAGGATTTCCTCCGGGTCGTAGCTGTCAAAGCCGTCAAAGCCACGACCGAAGCGGCCACCTCCAAAGCTAAGGCCATAGCCGCCGGAGTAGTATTCGTAATCACTGTCGTCGTCGTACTCGTACTCGTATTCGTCCTCGTAGAAAGCCTCTGTCTCTGCCCACGCTTGCTCCTGCGCCGCCCTTCGCATGGCCGCCGCACGGCGATCCGATTCGGCCTGAGCACGAATCCTCTCTGCGGATTGCTTCTGCCGCCATGCATTCGGGTTCCGCATGTATTCGGCATGTTCCCTCCTGTAGGTGTCCCATTGTGTCCTTATACTGCTATACGACTGATCGTAGCGCGTCTTGCCTTTGGGGTCTCTCAAAATGTCGTAGGCTTCTTGGATTCGTCGGAAGTCGGCTGCATCGACAGCTTCGCCTGGCGCCTTCTTGTCGGGATGGTGGAGGAGAGCGAGGCGGTGGAAGGCGGTCTTGATCTCGGCACTAGAGGCTGCTGGGCTCACTTCGAGGTCCGCGTACGCGTCTGGTAGCTTGGGCTTCGCGGGGCCCTCCATGGTTGGGTTGGAGTTGGGATTGTCGTGGCTGTGGGATGGGTGGGCGGTGCGGAAGAGCCTTTCTCGCGGATAAGTCGAGCGCGTAGCCCTTTGGAAATGGAGTACAGGAATGAGTACCTGCAGCCTCACAGCGATTCATCGCTTTGGACGCTCGAAACTTCTAGACAAACGCGTCGTAGCGTGGCGGCAGGGGTGGCACGGATCAAACGCGTTATCAGGTGGTCTTATCTCCGCACTGTCACTACCTAGGTAGTGAAGAAGCTGTGGACCTGGTCTACCCCACACGCGACTCCCAGATTTTCTTGTAGCACTAAAGCGAATGCATTACTACTTAAAATAGTTTTCTCACATACCATGAGACGAGATAGCGCCCAGAGTGTGCCCTCACTCCACAGCCTTGACCTTACGATCACCCTCATCCCCATGCGCATACGCATACGCATCAATACTATGTTTCGCAAACGCCCTCGCGGGCAACCCCTCAGCAAACATGATATCCAACTCCTCATACGTCCTGCCCTTCGTCTCCGGAAGACGGAAGAACGTCCAAACGAAAAAGATCAACGCGCCTCCACCCCAGAAGAAGCCCGTCTTGCCCTTCCAATCACCCGCAGTGGGGTTCAACATGTACGGGTTGATCACATTGGTGAGGATCTGCGCGATGTAGTAGCTGATGCGAGCCAGACACACACTCTTACTGCGCAGACGCGTGGACGAGACTTCTCCGACGATGGCATAGCAGATGGGTCCGACGGTCATGTAGTACCAGAAGAGCCAGATGATCATCATAGCAGCTTGTGCATAGTTGCCGCCGGACGAGTCGCCGGCGCCTACGCTGATGAAACCGACGATAAAGAGGATGGCTGCTAGACCACCGAGGCCCCAGAGGTAAAGCTTTCGACGGCCGATGTAGCTCATGAGGACCCAGGAGATTAGTGTGCCGACTGATGCCATGCCAAGACCGCCAACAGACATCTTGAAGGAGATGGAGGTGGAGACTCCTGCTTGGACAAAGAAATACGTGGGAGTGCCGCCCATGACGGAGCCGCAGATGGGTTGGGCTGCAAAGACCATGCACGCGATTTCTGTGCGGCGGCGGTCGATGCCTTTGAAACATTGAAGGTAGGATGTGTTTTCCTCAAGTGACTTCTCCAGTTCATTCGTGCGGACCATCATCGCGACCTTTTGCTTAGCCATGTCACGTTGGGAGACAGACCCAAGACGGATGAGCATTTGCTCGGCCAGTTCGAGATTGCCGGTGCGAACGTGGTACCATGGGGACTCGGGTGCCATCCAGAGGATTGCAAAGAGTGGGATAGGCCATGCCCATTGGATGGCAAAAGGTATCCGGTATGCCCATTGTGTGTTGTTGCCTGAGAACGCCGACTGCACTCCAGCGGAGATGAGTTGTCCGAATGCCCAACAAAGGTTGACGTATACGGTGAGGTATCCTCGCAGAGCTAGTGGGCACACCTCACTGGCGTAGGCAGGCGCCATGGTCGCGAAGACACCCCAGGGTATACCGCAGAGAAACTGACCGACGAGGAGGACGGGAGCGTTGGGCGCGAAGAAAGAGATGAAGATCAGCGCGCAGATGGAGGCAAGCGATACCAGCAAGACGGGACGGTAACCGAATCGATGGATAAAGTACCCGTTCGCAAACGCGCCGATGATGGTGCCCACGCTCACAGCATTGCTAAGTCCGTTCTGCCACGATGCCGTGATCTCGTACGTCCCAGTGCCTTGATTGAATTCTCCGTATTTGCGCGAGAAGGACGGCTGTGCGAAGAAGGAGCTCATCAAGACGATGTCGTATCCTTCCATGATGATGCAGGTGGATAGCAATACCGACCAGAGCACAGCTTTGGGGTATTTGCGAATGGCTTGCATCAACGTCATCTCGTGCTCCTCGTCGGCTGCCGCCTTGGCCTGGTCGAAGGTAACCTCATGGTGTTCCATGGTTGCCGCCTTTTCGTCCATGTTTGCCATGATGGATCGGATTGGATCGGTGCGTGCACCAGGTATGTAGAAGCAAAAAGAAGACAGCGGACCAAAGAGTCCGAACGTAGACCTCAGAAGCTGTTGGTTGTGGTCGAGTATGTGGATCTACGGATATGGCCACGGTATATACATAGTTGGCCATCCTGCACCAAGCCGCTCAATCATCCATGCATGGAACATGGCTGCTACCCCAGGTTTTCTCCACCGGAACACAACTACCCCATGGGGTGCATGCCAGGCTTGGCCTGTTCCTGCGAAGGCCAAACTCCGGTGGAGATGTTCCTAGACGCGGCATTTTCCAGGAAGACGCGTGCGGGGCGTGACCACTCTACCGGTAGCGTGGATCCTTCACTAAGGCCCCCGATGGAGAAGCGCCGTGAGGCTCCGGCGTCTATTGTGCCGAAGAATACGAGAACTTGGCCGTTGTCAGTCATGGTACTACCGTGATCGTGGGCTTGCTGGCATGACCGAGGTATTGTGAGGGCGGGTGACACGCTAAGCGGAAACTGTAGGGAACCTGTTTCCAGGATCTACTCTTCCGATGAGATGAGATGTGGTGAAAGCTTAAGGTCGGAGACGTTGCATGATACAGACTGCATGATATTCATATTATCGCTCTTTCGTAAGAAGTCGAAGCAGGTTTATATAAGACCGTTCGATGCCCCATGTGTGACCCGCGTCTTGCGCAGAAGACGGTGAATTGGCGTCTGGACTTGATGAAATCCCAGAGCTTTTGGCTAGAATTGAGATCCCTTCTTTCGCAATCCGCACCGGAGCTGCTTCATGCTCTAGACTGCCGACATTGGCAATGTATGCGGACATCTTATGCCCCATACGCACATACGTCTGTACTAGCTCATCGTCCAGTGGCCGGTCAAGATGGAGGAACGATGGTTCCGGTTCCTCGTCTGAATCTGAACCAATGGCTTCAACGGCTTCGGGAAGATGCATGCAGACGCAGAAGGCCCAAAGTATGAGTGTCGCAATGTAAATCGCATATGGCTCGAACAGGCTGCTACAACTGTACCTGCGAACGTGCCAAAAAAGGGCCCCACAGTGCACCAGACACAGTCTAGCTTTGCAGTGATCTCGAATCACCCATTGTAGGACCTGAACGCGCGCCGTCGCGAATGACTGTCCGTCTTCCGCATTGACTAGCGCGGCTTCGTTGGATGCAGATCCCGATGCGAACCGCTGTATGGCGCTAGTGGGCGCAAGTATGATCAGGCGAGCTAGATGCAGCTGGAGAACGGTGTGGTGCTCGAAACCCGAGTGGCGTGCGACCTTACTATTCGCAGGCCAATGCAAAACATCCAAGCTATCACAGGCGCTGTTACGCCACTTGATGGAAGACCGCGTTGTCGGCGACCAGTCTTGTTGTGTGGGTGGTGGCATATCGCTACGTCGCTGTGGTGTAGATGTTGGTATCCATGAGTTAAGACGAATGCGATCTCGGGCCAGAACGTCCCGGGTATGGCGATAGATGGCACTGACAAGTAAGCTCATGCTGAACTCTCCTAGATTGACGGGTAGCCGCTTTTCCACGTAGATCATCTCTAGTGCTTCCATAAAGGTAACACTTGTGAGACGCCTTTGATTATGTCGAATCAAGCTTGGTTGATCCCATACATCCTCGTGACATGGCAACAATACGTCAATATCGTCGAACTGGATGAGAGGCTTGGCCTGAAACTGATACACGAATATCGTATCGAGTGTCTGTTGCAGTTAGCTACGCGTCTTTCGAACACAATAAGAACAAATTACCCAAACCATCATCCCAGTACGAACCATTGCCTCTCTGGACAGCCATTCACGAAAGTCTGAGTTTTGCTCAGAATCAGCCGTCCTTGTCAGATCGTAAGACTTCTTCGTCTGCACAAGTAGATGGAGTGTGTGGCAGCCCTCTACTAGATAGTGTCGTTCTACATGGGCACGTTCTACCAGAACTTTCTTACCCGAATGCAGCATGTAAGCGATATTCAGGATGCCAGCTTGTAGAATCCGTAGATCTGGGTGGGCAACGAACCGGGAACAGCTCGGGCTGTAATCGACGTCCTCGTTACCTGCCGAACCTTGTACGTCTAGTCCATACTTGCTTCGGGTCAGAATAGTACTCAGCAGGCCAGATAGAGATTCGCTTGTTTGGGAATGCTGCAATAGCCGTGAGTACTTTGAGCCGATAACAGAGACGGCGATTAGCAAGAGCCAGCTCCTGGAAGCATCTTGGGCGAAGGAAGACCTCCGCAGGAAGGGGAATACTGGGTGGAAATGGTCAAAGTATTGGCGAACAGAAATTACGACTTGCTCATACGTAGGAAAGTTCGAAGCGCTCATATCGACTAGGCTATCGCGACCTTCAGCAGCAATGCCTTCCAGCAGAGATTGATAGGCTGCCGGTGGACACAACTTGTCTTCGTCAGAGGTATCAAGCGATGCAGAAGCATCATTGGCTTCCGCATCTTGCAAGTCGATGGTTTCTTCTGAGCAAATCGAGTGTTGCGATCTGCCACCGAACGGGGCTCTGGCACCTGCCCCATCAACGTAGTATCTGTTTTCCGACGTCGATGTAGATATTACGGAGGCAATATCCTTTGACTGCTGGTCTGTATCAGGTATGATTCTATTCGGATCTAATGAATGTGATGTTGTGGTGATCGCAGGTATTGAGGGTGTTGTTGGCGCGATGGAACTAGTCCATTGCTCCACGGTGCCATTAGCTTGGCCTCCGAAGTTTGCGAGTAGTGCATCCAGGTCAATGGGGCCTGAGTATTGGGGCGATAACCAGTTCACGTCTGAAAGACTCAAACCAGGCATGCCGAATGGGTCAGAAGCGAGCAAGTTGTTGTCGATGTTGCTATTCCACGCCCATGCATTGACAGAGGACTGTCCTATTGCATCGTTAAAGTCCGCTGTCCTGAACTCGCCATTGTTGTCTCGATTGACATTGTTCGGATGCAGGTCTCCAGTACTGAAGGGGTCTGTGGATTCATTCGCGC